AGAATGCAGCGGCTCGTCTGGTTTTCAACCTTCCTAAATTCTCCCACACCACTCCGCTCCTCCGCTCCCTTCACTGGCTTCCGGTAACTGCTAGAATCCACTTCAAGACACTGGTACTTGCTTACCGTGCTGCGAATGGATCTGGCCCTTCCTACATCCAGGACATGGTTAAACCGTACACCCCAGCGCGTGCACTACGCTCTGCATCAGCCAAACGACTCGTTGCGCCCTCGCTGCGAGGGGGACCCAAGTTCCCATCGGCGAAAACACGTGGGTTTGCTATCCTGGCTCCAAGATGGTGGAATGAGCTCCCCATTGACATCAGGACGGCAGATAGCTTGCACATCTTCCGGCGCAAACTGAAAACTCATCTCTTTCGACTCCACTTCGAGCGTTAGAACGATTAACGAAGCACTTTTATACTAATAAAGGACTGGATTACCTAAAGCCAATTGAGTAGCACTTGAAATGTTTAGCTCTATGAAACCTGATGTACTTATATGATTCTGTTTTCTTCAAGGTTGTGTCTTCCTGGTCGAATGTACTTATTGTAAGTCGCTTTGGACAAAAGCGTCAGCTAAATGCAATGTAATGTAATGTAATGTAATGCAGTGTATTTATATATATATATATATAACAGTATATCTGTGTGTATAACAGGACCTGGTGACGGAGGTCCACATGCAGTGTATATATATATATATATATATATAACAGTATATCTGTGTGTATAACAGGACCTGGTGACGGAGGTCCACATGCAGTCCATCTTCACGGACGTGGGGAAGCTCAGTCTGCAGGACTCCTCTCACAGCGTGCAGATCCCTGGAGGCTCGGGGGGGGCAAGCTGCTCCACCTGCTGGATCAGTGACTCTGGAGAGGCTCACTATGCTCTGGCCTCACCTGCAGGGGGCATCATGGTGCTGACGCTGCCTCCTCACGACTCTCCAGGTACACCTGTCACACCTGTAGCACCTATTACACCTGTACCATCTGAAACACCTGTAGCACCTGTACCATCTGAAACACCTGTAGCACCTGAAACACCTGTAGCACCTGAAACATATGTAAAAGTACACATATACTGAGAGTACACATATACTGAGAGTACACATATACTGAGTACACATATATCTCATGTACTGAAAGTACACCCTCTCACCTGTCTCCCTCTCACTTGTCACACCTGTCTCCCTCTCACCCCTCTCACCTGTCTCCCTCTCACCCCTCTCACCTGTCACACCTGTCTGTCCCTCATCTCCCTCTCACCTGTCTGCCTCTCACCCCTCTCACCTGTCACACCTGTCTGTCTCTCACCTCCCTCTCACCTGTCTGCCTCTCAGGTGAGTTGTCAGTGGTGGAGCTGAAGAGGAGCTCCATGATGCAGCGCTTCTCTGATTGGATGCCGTCAGCCATGAGGGGGGATCAGGGCGGGGGGGGCGCCCTGAGCCTGGCCGCCAGAGAGGTCGAAGACAACTGTTTCCTGTTCGCTTTGAGTCAAGATCTGAGGCTGCGGCTGTGGAGCTTCAGGGTCAGAACTAAGTCTACGAACTAAGTCTAACTAAGTCTCAGAACTAAGACTAACTAAGTCTCAGAACTAAGACTAACTAAGTCTACGAACTAAGACTAACTAAGTCTAACTAAGTCTCAGAACTAAGTCTAACTAAGTCTCAGAACTAAGACTAACTAAGTCTCAGAACTAAGACTCAGTCTAACTAAGTCTCAGAACTAAGACTAACTAAGTCTCAGAACTAAGTCTCAGACTAACTAAGTCTACGAACTAAGACTCAGACTAAGACTAACTAAGTCTCAGAACTAAGTCTAACTAAGTCTCAGAACTAAGACTCAGTCTAACTAAGTCTCAGAACTAAGTCTCTGTCTAACTAAGTCTCAGTCAGTCTAAGTCTCTGTCTGACTAAGTCTCAGAACTAAGACTAACTAAGTCTCAGAACTAAGTCTAACTAAGTCTACGAACTAAGACTAACTAAGTCTCAGTCTGACTAAGTCTCAGTCTGACTAAGTCTCAGTCAAACTAAGTCTCAGTCTGACTAAGTCTCAGTCAAACTAACTCAGTCTGACTAACTCTCAGTCAAACTAAGTCTCAGTCTAACTCTCAGTCTGACTAAGTCTCAGTCTGACTAAGTCTCAGTCTGACTAAGTCTCAGTCAAACTAAGTCTCAGTCTGACTAAGTCTCAGTCAAACTAACTCAGTCTGACTAACTCTCAGTCAAACTAAGTCTCAGTCTAACTCTCAGTCTGACTAAGTCTCAGTCTGTCTAACTCTCAGTCTGACTAAGTCTCAGTCTGACTCTCAGTCTAACTCTCAGTCAGACTGAGACTTAGTCAGACTGAAACTTAGTCTGACTAAGTCTCAGTCTGACTAAGTCTCAGTCAAACTAAGTCTCAGTCAGACTAAGTCTCAGTCAGACTGAAACTTAGTCTGACTAAGTCTCAGTCTGACTAAGTCTCAGTCAGACTAAGTCTCAGTCTGACTAAGTCTCAGTCTAACTCTCAGTCTGACTAAGTCTCAGTCTAACTCTCAGTCAAACTAAGTCTCAGTCTGACTAAGTCTCAGTCAGACTAAGTCTCAGTCAAACTAAGTCTCAGTCTGACTAAGTCTCTAACTAAGTCTAAGTCTAACTAACCCTCTCCCCCCAGGACCAGGCGTGTGTTCTGGAGGCGGATCTGTTGGAGTACATGCCCTCCTGCAGGGGGGCAAGGTCTCTCCCTGGGCACGGCCACCGCCTCCGGCTGAGCCTCTGCTCCACAGGCCTCTGCCTCGGGGTTTACCTGGCCGTACCTGGCCGAGGACAGTTCACCGTGCTGCAGCTCGTCTCCACCGACAGCAACCGCTACAGCCTGGACCACGTGTCCTCGCTCTTCACCACACAGGTGCGCTCTGTCCCCCCCCCACACAGGTGCGCTCTGTCGTCCCCCCCACACAGGTGCGCTCTGTCCCCCCACCCACACAGGTGCGCTCTGACCCCCCCCACACAGGTGCGCTCTGTCCCCCCCCCCCCACACAGGTGAGCTCTGTCCCCCCCACACACAGGTGCGCTCTGTCCCCCCCCCACACACAGGTGCGCTCTGTCCCCCCCCCCCACACACAGGTGCACTCTGTCCCCCCCCCCCACACACAGGTGCGCTCTGTCCCCCCCCCACACAGGTGAGCTCTGTCCCCCCCCCCCCCCACACAGGTGCGCTCTGTCCCCCCCCCCACACAGGTGAGCTCTGTCCCCCCCCCCAGACTCTGTCCCCACTCAGGTGAGCTCTGTCCCCCAGACTCTGTCCCCACACAGGTGAGCTCTGTCCCCACACAGGTGCGCTCTGTCCCCCCCCCAGACTCTGTCCCCACACAGGTGAGCTCTGTCCCCCACACTCCCCCCCAGACTCTGTCCCCACACAGGTGAGCTCTGTCCCCCACACTCCCCCCCAGACTCTGTCCCACACAGGTGAGCTCTGTCCCCTTCACAGGAGACACATGAGGTAAAATGTGATTTGTTTCCGTAGGAGACGCTGGTGGACTTTACTCTGACCCCCACAGACATCTGGGCTGTGTGGGTGGATGAATCAAATGCCACCGTGGTCAAATACATCAACTTTGAGCAGTGAGTTGTAATCCAACAATCAGGTACATGACCTGTGAACAGTAGATAAATGTGTGTGTGTGTGTGTGTGTGTGTGTGTGTGTGTGTGTGTGTGTGTGTGTGTGTGTGTGTGTGTGTGTGTGTGTGTGTGTGTGTGTGTGTGTGTGTGTGTGTGTGTGTGTGTGTGTGTTGTGTGTGTGTGTGTGTGTGTGTGTTGTGTGTGTGTGTGTGTGTGTGTGTGTGTGTGTGTGTGTGTGTGTGTGTGGGTGGCAGCAACTCGGCAGGTCAGTGGAACCAGGTGTTTGTTCAGCCTGCACCTGAAGACGAGGTCCACATCGGAGTGGACCAGGACCCCAGAGTAAGACCTGTTTAAGTCTTCCACTTTGTTGGTGTTATAAAATAAAACCAATATAAGAGTTATCATTTATGAAACAAATATCATGTTGATTATCCATTCTCTGTGTTCACAGGAGACGTACCTGGAGGTCCTCTTCTCCCCTCTACGCTTCACAGCTTCAGCCATCCTTAAAGCTCTACAGGTGAGAAGCACCTGCTGCGTGCACAGGTGAGAAGCACCTGGTGCGTGCACAGGTGAGAAGCACCTGGTGTGTGCACAGGTGAGAAGCACCTGGTGTGTGCACAGGTGAGAAGCACCTGGTGTGTGTGTGTGTACCTATATTGACTAGTTGTTACGTTGTAATAAAGACACACACAGAGAGGTGTATGCATCAGTGACGGTACACACAGCAGCATTGTAATGTGTGTTACCTGGCTGATTATTAAACATGAACTGGACTCACTGCTCTGCTGCAGACACTCTGAGAGCATCGTGAATCCAGTGCGCAACATTTTACTCACTGTCCTCCTCGATAGACCAAAGCATCGACATGTGAGGGACGGAGGCTTGACCGCGGTCGGGTGTTCAAAGGGGGGGGGGTGCTAGGGGCGCATAAGATGAGGACCCCTGAATGTCAGACGTGTTTTGCTGGAGCGTTTTGCAGCACCTCAGCGCCAAGGTCGGCATCCTCATCTCCCACGTTTGCCTCCATTTTGTTCACGACTAGTCGACTAGGGCCTACAGCGCCAACTAGTGGTAGAGGTAGTCGACTAGTTGACTAGGGCCTACAGCGCCAACTAGTGGTAGAGGTAGTTGACTAGGGCCTACAGCGCCAACTAGTGGTAGAGGTAGTTGACTAGGGCCTACAGCGCCAACTAGTGGTAGAGGTAGTTGACTAGGGCCTACAGCGCCAACTAGTGGTAGAGGTAGTTGACTAGGGCCTACAGCGCCAACTAGTGGTAGAGGTAGTTGACTAGGGCCTACAGCGCCAACTAGTGGTAGAGGTAGTTGACTAGGGCCTACAGCGCCAACTAGTGGTAGAGGTAGTTGACTAGGGCCTACAGCGCCAACTAGTGGTAGAGGTAATTGACTAGGGCCTACAGCGCCAACTAGTGGTAGAGGTAGTCGACTAGGGCCTACAGCGCCAACTAGTGGTAGAGGTAGTCGACTAGGGCCTACAGCGCCAACTAGTGGTAGAGGTAGTTGACTAGTTGGTGAAACCCCTAGTGTGTGTGTACAGCTCTACAGGTGTGTGTTGCTCTTCAGGCATGTACAGCTCTACAGGTGTGTGTAGCTCTTCAGGCATGTACAGCTCTTCAGGTGTGTGTGTGTGTGTGTGTGTGTGTGTGTGTGTGTGTGTGTGTGTGTGTGTGTGTGTGTGTGTGTGTGTGTGTGTGTGTGTGTGTGTGTGTGTGTGTGTGTACAGCTCTACAGGTGTGTGTGTGTGTACAGCTCTACAGGTGTGTGTGTGTGTGTGTGTACAGCTCTACAGGTGTGTGTGTGTGTACAGCTCTACAGGTGTGTGTGTGTACAGCTCTACAGGTGTGTGTGTGTACAGGCGTATGTGTGTACAGCTCTACAGGTGTGTGTGTGTACAGGCGTATGTGTGTACAGCTCTACAGGTGTGTGTGTGTGTGTGTGTGTGTGTGTGTGTGTGTGTACAGCTCTTCAGGCGTATGTGTATGTGTGTACAGCTCTACAGGTGTGTGTGTACAGCTCTTCAGGTGTGTGTGTGTGTGTGTGTGTGTGTGTGTGTGTGTGTGTGTGTGTGTGTGTGTGTGTGTGTTGTGTGTGTGTGTGTGTGTGTTGTGTGTGTGTGTGTGTGTGTGTGTGTGTGTGTGTGTGTGTGTGTGTGTGTGTGTGTGTGTGTGTGTGTGTGTGTGTTGTGTGTGTGGTGTGGTGTGTGTGTGGTGTGTGTGTGTGTGTGTGTGTGTGTGTGTGTGTTACAGCTCTACAGGTGTGTGTGTGTGTACAGCTCTACAGGTGTGTGTGTGTGTGTGTACAGCTCTACAGGTGTGTGTGTGTGTGTGTGTACAGCTCTACAGGCGTGTGTGTGTACAGGCGTATGTGTGTACAGCTCTACAGGTGTGTGTGTGTACAGCTCTTCAGGCGTGTGTGTGTGTGTATGTGTGTACAGCTCTACAGGTGTGTGTGTACAGCTCTTCAGGCGTGTGTGTGTGTGTATGTGTGTACAGCTCTACAGGTGTGTGTGTACAGCTCTTCAGGCGTGTGTATGTGTGTACAGCTCTACAGGTGATACTTTGTGTCTTCAGATCTTCCGCAGAGGCTCGGACAGAGACCGTACCTCGGACGTGTCCTGGGAGAGTCTGAAGAAGGAAGTGACGGTGGCTGTGGAGAGTGAGGTGGGTCATCACAGTAACAAACAGCTGGTCCTGACTCTGGTCCTGACTCCTCTTCTCCTTGTACACAAACTCGCTCGGATCAGTCATTAGCCCGCATGGTTTTTCTTACCACTGCTACGCTGATGACACCCAATTAATTCTGTCCTTTCCCCGCTCAGAGACCCAGGTCGTTGCACGCATCTCTGCTTGTCTAGCTGACCTCTCTCAGTGGATGTCTGCTCATCACCTCAAGCTCAACCATGACAAGACTGAGCTGCTCTTCCTCCCGGGAAAAGATTGTCCCACTCTTGACCTAACAATCAACATCGGCACCTCAGTTGTTTCCCCGACTCAGACTGCAAGGAATCTGGGTGTGACCCTAGATAACAACCTGTCCTTCACTGCAAACATCGCTGCTACAACCCGTTGCTGCAGATACACGCTTTACAACATCAGGAAGATAAGTCCCCAGCTGACCCAGAAAGCCACGCAGGTTCTGGTCCAGGCTCTCGTCATCTCACGCCTAGACTACTGCAACTCCCTCCTGGCTGGTCTACCTGCATGTGCCATCCGACCTCTGCAGCTCATCCAGAATGCAGCGGCTCGTCTGGTCTTCAACCTTCCTAAATGTTCCCACACCACTCCGCTCCTCCGCTCCCTTCACTGGCTTCCAGTAACTGCTAGAATCCACTTCAAGACACTGGTACTTGCTTACCGTGCTGCGAATGGATCTGGCCCTTCCTACATCCAGGACATGGTTAAACCGTACACCCCAGCGCGTGCACTACGCTCTGCATCAGCCAAACGACTCGCTGCACCCTCGCTGCGAGGGGGACCCAAGTTCCCATCAGCAAAAACACGTGGGTTTGCTATCCTGGCTCCAAGATGGTGGAATGAGCTCCCCATTGACATCAGGACAGCAGATAGCTTACACACCTTCCGGACTGAAAACTCATCTCTTTCGACTCCACTTCGAGCGATAGAACTATTAACAAAGCACTTTTATACTAATAAAGGACTGGCTTACCTAAAGCCAGTTGAGTAGCACTTGAAATGTTTGGCTCTATGAAACCTGATGTACTTATATGATTCTGTTTTCTTCAAGGTTGTGTCTTCCTGGTCGAATGTACTTATTGTAAGTCGCTTTGGATAAAAGCGTCAGCTAAATGCAATGTAATGTAATGGTCCTGGTCTTTAACCCTTCTGTTCCCTCTCACAGCTCCAGAGCAGTGTGACGGAGTTTGAGTTCTCTCAGGAGGAGTACCGGCAGCTGCAGGTGGAGTTCTGGTCCAAGTTCTACGCCTGCTGTCTTCAGTACCAGGAGGCTCTGTCCCTGCCTCTGGGCCTCAGCGTCAGCCCCGGCACCGGCATGGCCCTGCTGCTAAAGAAGGTCTCACTATACCCTCTATACATCCCACTGTACCCTATGTACCCTCTATACATCCCACTGTACCCTCTATACATCCCACTGTACCCTCTATACAACCCACTGTACCCTCTATACATCCCACTGTACCCACTATACATCCCACTGTACCCTCTATACATCCCACTGTACCCTCTATACATCCCACTGTACCCTCTATACATCCCACTGAGAACGAGAGTCCTTAAAAAGGTCTTAATTATGACCACAAAAAAATAAGAAAGGTCTTAAATATGATTTAGAAGGTCTTAAATATGATGGGATTTGAAAGGTGCTTCTGTGTTGCCTACTGCTCACTTACAAAGCCCTACATAACCTGCCCCCCCCCCTATCTGGCTGACCTTCTTCAGGAGTACACCCCCTATCGCTCCCTCCGCTCCTCCTCTGCTGGTCTGCTGACCGTCCCCACCCCACGCCTCGTCACCATGGGTGCTCAGGCTTTTAGCTGCACCGCTCCCAGATTTGTTTAGCAAATTGTACGGTGTCCTTGGGTGTCATGAAAGGCGCCTAAAAATAAAATGTATTATTATTATTAACATACATGAATACATTTACTTTGTAAGTAATTATGGGACGTATTTCTTCTTTCATAGCAATTTTCCTTCATACTTTCTTGCCGTGAAATAGGTCTTAAATTATATTCAAAGTGGTCTTAAATAGTCTTACATTTGAGTTGGCGAAACCTGCAGGAACCCTGGTTTCAGGTTTAAACTTTAGTCTGTGTTTCAGGTTTAAACTACAGTCTGTGTTTCAGGTTTAAACTACAGTCTGTGTTTCAGGTTTAAACTACAGTCTGTGTTTCAGGTTTAAACTACAGTCTGTGTTTCAGGTTTAAACTACAGTCTGTGTTTCAGGTTTAAACTTGAGTCTGTTTCAGGTTTAAACTACAGTCTCTGTTTCAGGTTTAAACTACAGTCTGTGTTTCAGGTTTAAACTTTAGTCTGTGTTTCAGGTTTTAACTACAGTCTGTGTTTCAGGTTTAAACTACAGTCTGTGTTTCAGGTTTAAACTACAGTCTGTGTTTCAGGTTTAAACTACAGTCTGTGTTTCAGGTTTAAACTACAGTCTGTGTTTCAGGTTTAAACTACAGTCTGTGTTTCAGATTTAAACTACAGTCTGTGTTTCAGGTTTAAACTTTAGTCTGTTTCAGGTTTAAACTACAGTCTCTGTTTCAGGTTTAAACTACAGTCTGTGTTTCAGGTTTAAACTTTAGTCTGTGTTTCAGGTTTTAACTACAGTCTGTGTTTCAGGTTTAAACTACAGTCTGTGTTTCAGGTTTAAACTACAGTCTGTGTTTCAGGTTTAAACTACAGTCTGTGTTTCAGGTTTAAACTACAGTCTGTGTTTCAGGTTTAAACTACAGTCTGTGTTTCAGGTTTAAACTTTAGTCTGTTTCAGGTTTAAACTACAGTCTGTGTTTCAGGTTTAAACTACAGTCTGTTTCAGGTTTAAACTACAGTCTGTGTTTCAGGTTTAAACTACAGTCTGTGTTTCAGATTTAAACTACAGTCTGTGTTTCAGGTTTAAACTACAGTCTGTGTTTCAGGTTTAAACTACAGTCTGTGTTTCAGATTTAAACTACAGTCTGTGTTTCAGGTTTAAACTACAGTCTGTGTTTCAGATTTAAACTACAGTCTGTGTTTCAGGTTTAAACTACAGTCTGTGTTTCAGATTTAAACTACAGTCTGTGTTTCAGGTTTAAACTACAGTCTGTGTTTCAGGTTTAAACTACAGTCTGTGTTTCAGGTTTAAACTTTAGTCTGTTTCAGGTTTAAACTACAGTCTGTGTTTCAGGTTTAAACTTTAGTCTGTTTCAGGTTTAAACTACAGTCTGTGTTTCAGGTTTAAACTTTAGTCTGTTTCAGGTTTAAACTACAGTCTGTGTTTCAGGTTCAAACTACAGTCTGTGTTTCAGGTTTAAACTACAGTCTGTGTTTCAGGTTTAAACTTTAGTCTGTGTTTCAGGTTTAAACTTTAGTCTGTTTCAGGTTTAAACTTTAGTCTGTGTTTTAGGTTTAAACTACAGTCTGTGTTTCAGGTTCAAACTACAGTCTGTGTTTCAGGTTTAAACTACAGTCTGTGTTTCAGGTTTAAACTACTGTCTGTGTTTCAGGTTTAAACTACAGTCTGTGTTTCAGGTTTAAACTTTAGTCTGTTTCAGGTTTAAACTTTAGTCTGTGTTTTAGGTTTAAACTACAGTCTGTGTTTCAGGTTCAAACTACATTATGTGTTTCAGGTTTAAACTACAGTCTGTGTTTCAGGTTTAAACTACTGTCTGTGTTTCAGGTTTAAACTACAGTCTGTGTTTCAGGTTTAAACTACAGTCTGTGTTTCAGGTTTAAACTACAGTCTGTGTTTCAGGTTTAAACTACAGTCTGTGTTTCAGGTTTAAACTACAGTCTGTTTCAGGTTTAAACTTGAGTCTGTTTCAGGTTTAAACTACAGTCTCTGTTTCAGGTTTAAACTACAGTCTGTGTTTCAGGTTTAAACTACAGTCTCTGTTTCAGGTTTAAACTACAGTCTGTGTTTCAGGTTTAAACTTTAGTCTGTGTTTCAGGTTTTAACTACAGTCTGTGTTTCAGGTTTAAACCACAGTCTGTGTTTCAGGTTTAAACTACAGTCTGTGTTTCAGGTTTAAACTACAGTCTGTGTTTCAGGTTAAACTACAGTCTGTGTTTCAGGTTTAAACTACAGTCTGTGTTTCAGGTTTAAACTACAGTCTGTGTTTCAGGTTTAAACTTTAGTCTGTTTCAGGTTTAAACTACAGTCTGTGTTTCAGGTTTAAACTACAGTCTGTGTTTCAGGTTTAAACTACAGTCTGTGTTTCAGGTTTAAACTTTAGTCTGTTTCAGGTTTAAACTACAGTCTGTGTTTCAGGTTTAAACTACAGTCTATGTTTCAGATTTAAACTACAGTCTGTTTCAGGTTTAAACTTTAGTCTGTTTCAGGTTTAAACTACAGTCTGTGTTTCAGGTTTAAACTACAGTCTGTGTTTCAGGTTTAAACTTTAGTCTGTTTCAGGTTTAAACTACAGTCTGTGTTTCAGGTTTAAACTACAGTCTGTGTTTCAGATTTAAACTACAGTCTGTGTTTCAGATTTAAACTACAGTCTGTTTCAGGTTTAAACTTTAGTCTGTTTCAGGTTTAAACTACAGTCTGTGTTTCAGGTTTAAACTACAGTCTGTGTTTCAAGTTTAAACTACAGTCTGTGTTTCAGGTTTAAACTACAGTCTGTCTTTCAGGGCTTCGTGTCGTTCCTCCTGCCATGTTTTGCTGTGGATCACCTGTACCTGTCCTACGATGAGTACCTGTCCTCAGAGGAGGAGACGCCCATCGCTGAAGGTGAGTCCCCCTCCACTCGGTGGTCACATCACTGAACTTTACCACGCTAAGCTAAAGGCGGCTAATGTTCACAAAATAACTATATATTAATATTAGGGCTGTCAAGTTAACGCGTTTACGCAAAAAGAAAATAACGCCACTAATTATTTTAACGCGATTAACGCATGTGTACGCATTTGTCCTCGGCCGCCCCGTAGTTTCAGAGCGCATCGAGTTTAAAATACCGTCTACAAGCTGATGCTGACAGCCCCGCTCCTGCCGCCCGCTTGCAGCAGACCACACTTCCACGCTCACCGGCAGGCACCGGGAGGGTGTGTATGTGTGGCCCGAGCGAGAGAGAGACCTTACGTGTATTGTTGTTGTTAGCATCTGGTGCTAGCTAGCTGCGCTAACGGATATAAGGAGCTGTTTAAATGAAAACAGAGGGGCGACATTTCGCCGACAACTGCGCCGAGCACTTGACTTTATGCAGGAAGCCAGACAGTGGGACATTGTATGAACAGTCAGCACACTCAACACGGGTAGTGCAACATGATCGCAGCGTCCAGGCAGCTCCCGTTCGAGCATATGCCTTGAGCTGCACATAGCTCCAACGATCCATCACACACACACGCACACTTTGTATTGTATTATTGTATGAGAGAGGTTCCAGGTTGTTGTGTTTAATATTCATGAGAATATTTGTCATTGTTCAAATGATAATAAACATTTGCATAAAGCATATTCTTTATATGTATATAGATCCAGAGCTGGGGAAGGACGTGCTGCAGCTGGTTCAGTGTCTGCGCCTCATCAGCGATGCAGTTTCTGTAGAGATGGCCTATGAGATGGAGAAAGCTCTGGAACACCTTCAGTCACCGGAGAGGGCAGCAGACCTGGTGCTGGAGAGCCTGCTGTCCAACGACAGGTACTCATTTAACCTGTTCAGCCCGAGAGCCCCCGGTCGAGGGGGCTGCGGTTTCTTTTCACGACACTGTGTCTCAGGGCTTCTTAATACTTAAAAACCTATTAATGTGTCATACCAGATTAACGGGAAGAATCTCAACTAACTGACGATACAAACCATGTTTACCAAAACAAAACACAAGTCTCATAAGAAGCATCGAAATGACCCCTGAGCGAAAAAATGCTGACGCACTTGGCACAGAACTCAAGATAAAGATACCCTTATTACTTATCGTAACTGCACAAACTTAATATTAGCTGCTAATGGTAGCCACCATTCGCAGCTTCCGGTTTTGGCTACGAGTCACTCTCACTCCTTATTTAGTAACGTGTGTGTGTGTGGAACCTCCCCTCGATTCCATTGGCTCTGACGGTTAGAAAGAGATGTCAATCATCCAAATCGACCGAGGGGTTCCAGAGATAGGTCAAATCCACCCAAAAGACCCCAGAAGTGTTTTTTTTGCTAAACCTCTCTAAAAAGGTCAAAGGTCACTTGTTTTGCATCGATCTTGATACAGGGTACTTCTTATATGTTGTACTTTGGATTCCTAAAGCTTTTAGTCTACCATCCCATCATCCAGGGGTGGTTTTCACTATAAGTCATTTTTTTTGGGGCGGACACTATAATAAAAAATGTTGCTATGTTCAATCTGAATTGACTTTAAAATAAAAACATATATTTATTCTGACTTTATATATATATAAAAAAAAATCCCAAAAATTATAGTGTCCGTCCAAAAAAAAATTACTAAACATTACATTAAACCCTAAGTTATAAAGTTATGAATTTAACCCTTAATACAGTTACACCTACTCAATAAAGCTCTTAGTATTCTACAAATGTTTAAATCAAAGTTAACCCTAGCAGTCAGTTAGTTCAGTTTTAAGGTTTCAGTCAAATGACTTGTCCCAAGTTTCTGCCTGACAGATACTGTAGCGGTTTTGAGATTTAAAATCACAATTCCAGTCAGATCAACTACAGAGCATTGATACAGAGTACACACACTGAAACAGAGAAGTCTAAAGACACAGTGTTACTCACACAATTCTAGAAGTCTCCAGTTGTTATCCTGTCAAAATGGAGTTGCACATTGGCAGGTCAGTGATTAAATACAGTTTCTGGGGAGGATGTGGCCGCAGATCAGAGCTGATGGGCCTCAATCGAGACTGGCTCCCTCCTGAGTATAACAGGAGTATATTAGGGGTGCAACAACTAATCGACTTAATCGATTAAAATCGATTACCAAATTAGTTGGCAACTAATTCAGTCGTCGATTCGTTGGTGACGTCATCACATGTGTTCTACACCCCGTTAAACTCCAACGTTATCGCTCTTTTTTATCGATACAGGAGACATTTAAAACATGTCATATGTATTATTGCTACATAAACATTATATCGCAGTCTTAGTGTCGCCAACTCCGTTTCTAATATGCAATATGAATACAAAATGCGTCTATAATGTATTTTCGATCTTCCCAATTCAGACGAGAGATCTCTCCCCCGCCTGCTTGCGAGGGGGCGGGGCAGTTTACACACACGCAGCTGCTACATGCAGCAACACACACACACACGGAGGAGATGGCGGAGAGAACGCGCTCCGAAGTGTGGTTAAACTTTAGCCGTCTCGATGTGGACAATGCTCGTTACCAAAAGTGCAATAAGAGATTATCATGTAAGGGTAACGTTTCCACGTCAGGTGTTATGTATGCTAGCAGCAACACACAGAGTTAACTCAGTTATAAAAACATAGGTTAATGATTAGAGGTAACAGAGTTATTTATTTTGTTAAAGTTTCAGCCATTCTGTTCACAGTTCTGTCATCACATTATTTAATATGATTTGTTAAAACATTGTTGTTTCTTTTGATGTGAAATATTATGCATTTAATTAAAAATAAAAAGCAATGTTAGTTTTGTTCACAATTTGTTTAGTTAGTTTACCTTATTTCTTGTCAAAAGAACCGTTAATAGCCTACTATCGTTAAAAGGACCGGATCGATATAAGTAGTAGTACAGTTAAAACTTTAACGATCCGATTAATCGATTAATCGTTTCATTAATCGATTATCAAATTAGTCGTTTGTTGCAGCCCTAGAGTATATACATACTGCTGTTATAATACTCAGGCTGTCCAACGTTTATTGTAAATAAAGCATGATTAAAGTGTTTATTGTGCAGTGAAAACGTGATGGAGGACATCCAGAACAAACTGCAGGACGTCAGGAACCCTGCGGCGGCCATGACGGTTCTTCTGAGGGAGCTGGATCTGGAGACGGACTCTGAGAGCCTGATCTCTGTCTCTCAGGATACACAAGGTGAGGGTTTGTTGCCCTGCTCTGTGCCTTGCAGGTTCTGAAAGTGTGTTTGTTGCCCTGCTCTGTGCCTTGCAGGTTCTGAATGTGTGTTTGATGCCCTGCTCTGTGCCTTGCAGGTTCTGAAAGTGTTTGATGCCCTGCTCTGTGCCTTGCAGGTTCTGAATGTGTGTTTGATGCCCTGCTCTGTGCCTTGCAGGTTCTGAAAGTGTGTTTGTTACCCTGCTCTGTGCCTTGCAGGTTCTGAAAGTGTGTTTGATGCCCTGCTCTGTGCCTTGCAGGTTCTGAATGTGTGTTTGTCGCCCTGCTCTGTGCCTTGCAGGTTCTGAAAGTGTGTTTGATGCCCTGCTCTGTGCCTTGCAGGTTCTGAAAGTGTGTTTGTTGCCCTGCTCTGTGCCTTGCAGGTTCTGAAAGTGTGTTTGTTGCCCTGCTCTGTGCTTTGCAGGTTCTGAATGTGTGTTTGTTGCCCTGCTCTATGCCTTGCAGGTTCTGAAAGTGTGTTTGATGCCCTGCTCTGTGCCTTGCAGGTTCTGAAAGTGTGTTTGATGCCCTGCTCTGTGCCTTGCAGGTTCTGAAAGTGTGTTTGATGCCCTGCTCTGTGCCTTGCAGGTTCTGAAAGTGTGTTTGATGCCCTGCTCTGTGCCTTGCAGGTTCTGAAAGTGTGTTTGTTGCCCTGCTATGGAGCTATTTCAGGGTCATAAGTTTTGATCATTCAAAAAACGTTTGAAAGTTCAAGTTTTTATCCTGAACTTTGAAAAATTCTATGATGTATTCAAACCAAAAATAAGTATTTGAAATCCTTTTTCAGGTTGAATATTATTTTGATTCAGTTCAGCAATTTCTTTGAATAAAATATTTATTTTCATATTTCACTTTTATACATATTTTGATATTTGAATCCTTATTTTTTTCAGTTGCAGATTTTAAGTTTTCAGATTAAAAACAATTATTTTTTCAGTTTCAAATCTTGTTTTTTCAGATTTCAAGGTTCAAGGTTCTTAATTGTCAAACTAACATAGCTACAGAGTAAATATCTCGTTGAAAATCTTAGGTCACAGGCTTCTCCAACAATGCAACACAATAATACAGATAAGCAGACGATATTAAAACAATATTAAAGTATAGTATGTTAAAAGTAATACAAAAAAGAAAAATAGTTTTTTAAAAAGTGAGAGAAAAAAAGTGGAATAGTGCAATACAAGTCTATATACAAGTTATTGGAATGATATATTAGATAATAATTACTAAGTAGCAGATGAATGTTATGAAATAGTTTCAGCAGTTCAGTTGTTTAACAGTCTTCTGGCCTGTGGGATGAAGCTGTCTCTGAATCTGGTGGTTTTAGCTGCGGTACC